CATCGGCGCCCGATCAATCCCAGGTCCGTGTCCGCCCGCATCCGGCTTCTTAGAAGCCTCATATAGGATTTGCACACACAGCTTGCTGAGTGAAGACAACCAGGTGAATCGTACTCAGGGCCCTCCCGCTCCCCTCACTCTCCCCTTCCCGTCGTTGTTCTCATCCTCCTCCTCCTCCTCTCCCTCCTTCTTCCCCTCCCTCCTCGCGAGGGTGGGGTGGGGTGGGGGGGCGCACGACTCGGGAGCGAGAGCGCGCGGGTGGGGGGGGGGACATCGATGAGGAGGTGGGGAGGAGAACGAAGAGGGGGGGAAGGAGGAAGAGGACGAGGAGGATGAGGGAGGACCAGAGTAAACCCGAGGTGCATCCACGATGCTGCAGCACACCCGCCCGCCCCAAGCCCACGCCTCATACGTCCCTCCTCCCTCCAGGCCTTCCTGTCCACTCCTAAGAGCGCCCCTCTGGAAGCTCAGCACCTGATCGGCCTGCCATTCAGGCGCGGGGCCCGCTTCGAAAAGGAACTCATTGCCTTGCGCCGTTCCGGCGAGCGAAACGGAATGCGCAACGGTAGTCTGGATCACACGGTTCAACGAGGTGTCCAGCGAGGCCACCTTTTCGAAAAGAAGCCTCCTCATGTGTATTTTTTGCAGGGGGGGTCACTTCTGGCCGTGCTCGCTGGGGAAGTCTCGAGCGAGAGGCAGATGTTGAAAGGAGCCGCCCTCCATTCGTGCAGCTGTCCCTCCATGTTGAATGAGACAATTTCTTGTCTTCGTATCCAGATTTCAGGTGAAAACCCAGCCTTGCAACGGAGCCGCCCTTCAACCGCGCAGATGTTGCAAGTGTTCAATTGGCATGCCGCTAAACACAAAACAGCCTCCAGCGAACCCCTCGCAACGAAAAGAGGGGCCGGCCGCCGTCCCAGTTGCTGCCACAAATGTACGACGAACGTGCGCGGCGCTAAGGCGAGAGCTTCATTTTGAAAACGATCCTCGCGCCATCCTTGAGAGCATCTTCGCAGGCCTAGAAGTTGGCAGCAACCCCCCAATATCGGCGGTGTGCCTCCACCGAGGGAAGAAGATCCCGATCTCGGTGAAGGTGGTAACATTCTGGCTTCCATGGCGACCGAAATATCACCACCGACACCGACATCCAGGAGCAGCTTCCCCCTGTGGAGGCAAGCCCCGGTGTTGGTGTTGGTGCCCACTGCCAGGCCTCCAACATCTGCAAAGTTTAAGATGGATGTGCGCAGCGCTGAGGCGAGAACTCCACGTTGAAAAGGAGCCGCCCTTCACCCGTGAGGACGCTGCAGACCTCTTAAGACGGATGTGCGCGGCGCCCAGGCGAGAGCTCCGCGTTGAAAACGGCCCGCCTTGCAAAAGTAATTCATTTCAAGCTTCGCGATCAGAGATCTCGGGTAACTCCCAGGCGAAGCGCCCGGCCCTCCCTGCAGACACGTCCGGGGGTGCGCATTGAGGAGAGGGGGGAGGGGACGAGGAGGGGGAGTGGGAGGAGGAGGAGGAGGAGGTGGAGGTGCTGCCCCAGAAGACGCTCACGCACCACATGCTTGGGATTGTGTGGGAAACGCTGAGCTTTGCCGCGGCGCAGTTGCCGACCGATCGCCACAAGGAGATCAGGGCGGCCGAGAAGGTGGTGAGCACAGTCGAGAAGACCGTGCGCAAGCAGTTCCAGCGAAAGAAGGACAGGCTTTGGGCCTACTCTGCGGCGTCGGCCACGGCCTTCCGCCTGAACACTTCGAAGGTCACTGGGAAGATCGAGTCTTTGCAGAAGCTGGCGAGGGCCCACGCCGACCGGTTCCGGGACCAGGCCGGCGAGATAGCAGAAGGGAACTCACCATGACCCCCGACAGAATGAGGGGGCAGTGGAGATTTCCTCATGCCTTGGCGTTTGCGTCAGGATTCAGGCCCCAGCGTCCTCACAGATCGATCCGAGTCGAGGGATTCTGGCTGGAGAAATGCGCAGAAAGTTGGGGTCTCGGGCTCTGGTCGTGTTCCTTCAGCTTGCGAGTCAGCGTGCAGGGGAGAGACACACACACACACACACACACTGCTCATTCGCGACGATGCTGTGAAGTACAGGCGTGCTGTTCTTGAGCGGCAACGTCCTCATAGTCTCAGAGTTTCCGTGTGTATTGGACTATTGTCATGCGCGATTGCTCAGCGTGTTGCACCGCCGATTCTGGCCCGCCACACCTCGTGCAACGCGCTAACCGCGTCCCCATTCCCAAGCGTCAGCGTCCCGCGCTCTTCCCAGCCTCATGCTGCGCGGAGCGGAGCGGCACGCTCTCAGCTTGCAGGGCACAGTGTGTCGCAGGGGCCGCCGCCGCGACGCGCCAGGCACAAATGCCTAACCGAAGGTCACCCGCGGGGGCGCGAAGAGAATCGCGCGTCGCGGTCTGTGCCAGGGCGGCTGCTGTTCTCCAAGGGGGCGGCGCGAGGGCGCGAAGGTAATCGTTAATCGCTTATCGCAGCGCGAGGTGCGCGAAGTTTGATGACCCAGATTGCGCGGACCTCCGAATGCTTGGATCTTTGTATGCTGTGTGTTCTTCCTCTACGAGAGGTGCTGCCGAGCATCAACGCCAGCGAGATGTGCACCTGTGGCCCCGTGACGGGCCTGGCGCCCCTGGCGACGCTGCTGCAGGATCCCCGCCTTGCGATGCTGGTGATCGAGCTGGTGACCAAGGACCCCACCGTTCATTTGAGGAGGGAGCTGGTACTGCAAAGCCGCAGCTATGAACTTCTAGTATATTGCCAGCACGCTCGGCGAGGCGAGTTGTGTACATGATCGCGGTCCGCTCCCATCTCCTGCTCCTCAAAAAAAGCCGCAGCTACGAACTGAAGAAGAACACATCGAATAGACACTGGCATTCGAAGGCTCCTGCGGATTTCTGCGATCGGCGGCGCGCTCCGCAGGCCAGGGAAGGGCGTCCGGTGTCCACCCGGGAACTCCGCGCGGACCTCCGAAAGTACTCCAGATTTCGTAATAAAAGGGAGGGGGTCACAACCCTCCCAGACGAGAAGTTTTAGACCCCCCAGACTATCCATCAAAGGGCGGCCCTTTGCCCAGACCCCCCCGAACCCTCCAAGACAGCTCAAATTAGACCCCCCCCCCCGAATGTGACCCCCCCCACTTTGTTACGGAATCCGGAGTATCCTTCGGGGAAGAGCGCCAGCCCGCCACCTTCTTCTGGCGGTTCTTCGCTCGCTCGGCCGTGCATCCGGTGGGACGCGTTGGCAAACACAGGTTGCGACGTTGGCAACCGAACGGAAAGCATGAACTGCGAGTGCACAGTGGGTGCTGCAAAGCTAAGAAGGGGGAGGGGAGGGAGGAAGGCGAGATTGCCTCAGACCGTACACTGAAGAAGCCCACTGCTGTCGAGGCCAGCCTCGTCGTCGGTGGTGGTTATTGCTCCCCCCAAACCCTTCGCGGCGTGGGTGGCTCCTTGAACTCAAAGCGGGGCGAGTCTGAGGTCTGGGGCCATCTGGCGTCTCGAAAGGTTCCCCTTTGCAGCTCCGCCATTTTCAAGAGGGGGAAAATCACAGACACAATTCATCGTCGATCCCCAGGACAAAATTGGAAAATATGGAAAGTGGGGGGGAAGACGAAAACCCAGAACATGTGGACAAATATGGGGAGTCCTGGGATTGGTGTGTATTTATTTGTGTGTCCCTGGGCCCCTTCACTTTTACTTTCACCGCAGACGGCCCGCCATCTTGGAGCTATCCTGGAGGCCTCTGGGGCCGTCTTGGGCGTCCGGAAGACCGAAAATGGCGAGAGCTCACAATTATTCAAACAACCAGAGGGAATCAACTCCCGGATGGCCTCTGTGAGCCCTCTTGGGGCGTTTTGGGGGCTTCTTGGGCCGTCTCGAGGCTAGTTGGGGCCGTGTTGGAGGTCTCGTGTGGCGATGTTCGGCCCTATCGGGGCAATCTCGGCCGTCGTGTCTTGGGACTGTTTTGAAGGCTACATTGGAGCCGTCTTAGACTGGCGGATCCAAGACGCATGCGGTGAGTAACCGCCGCCCCTTTTTTTCCTGGAAGCGCCGACGTGGCCAGAGGTTTGGCCAAAGCTTAGCCAAGCTATTGGACTATGTCTTTCCCCAGCCGATGTGGAAATCCTGGGGGGGAGGATCATACGGGTAAGGAAGAGGGGAAGAGGAAGCACGGCAAGGAGGCGGAGGAGGCGGACGAGGAGGTGGCCTCTTGGGGCCATATTTTGGACGAGATTGGCCGTCCTGGACGACATCTAGGACTTCCCTGGGGGCCGTGTACGGTCGTCCTGGCTGACTTGGAGGCCACCTTGGACCGCCGTCGTGGGGCCATCGTGGGGTTCTTTGGGGCCATTTTCGGGGCCGCATGTGCCGCCTGAGGCTGCCTGAAGCCTTCGGGCACGAGGCCGCCGAAATGATTGGAAAGCCTGGGGGAAATCAAAGTTGGTTGCCTCTTGGCGCCCACTTGGGGGTCATGACGGAGGCCTCGTAGGGCGTATTAGAAGCCTCTTTTACCGCCTTCAGGTCATGATGGATCGTCTTGGGCTGTCTTGGTGGCCGTCTTGGGCCATCTTCGAAACCATGTAGGGCCACCTTGGCCGACGCGGATACCATAAAGGATGATGTTGTGGAATTTGGGGGTCCTTTGGGGTGGTTCTCTTGTCGCAGGTGGAACTGGCCGAAGCCCACTAGGAACACTCTAGACACGAAAAGAAGCTCAACAAACGCCCGACACACCGACACACCTCCGCAGGCAACTGGGGCAGCGGAACGAAGACGCCCACGGCGAACTACTGCCGCCCCATGCCAGCTTGAAAACGCCAACGAACCAATCGTTGGGCCGAATCTTGCCAAGGTATTGGATTATTTGTTCCCGAGCCTTTGTGGAAACCCTTGGAGGAACATTTGGGGGGAAGAAGAGGAGAAGTAAAAAGAGGAGGAGGAGGAGTAGGAGGAGGAGTAAAAAGAGGAGGAGGAGGAGGAGGAGGAGGAGGCGGATCAGGGTAAATCCAATGGGCATCAGCGGTGCCGTAGCACATCCTCCCGTCCCAAGCTCCCTCCTCAGGGGACACGTTTGAACCTCGATTCTTGCGGGCAGAGTCTGGGGCCTGTATTTCGGCCACGCTTGTGGGACACCCCTGTACCTGTCGGAGGCGGTCGCGCGTTCTGCTTTCACTGCGGAGGCCAAGGTTTCGCGCGTTGGCTCGCACATTGCAGGTTATCCCTCGCGAGAATCCGGGCTTGCCTCGCGCATTCTGCCGGCGCACACGGTTCTTGACGCACCATCGTTGTCGTCATTGTTGTTGCGTGTGGAAGAAGCCGTACAAGTTTTCCCGTCCATTTCCAGAAGTGCCCTTGTGAAAGACCGGCCCATTCTGGGCCTGCCATTCATGCGAGAGCCTCGTTCTGAATAGGAACTGCCCTGCGTCCTTGTAGCAAACAGTCAGGGGTTCGAGGTTGTACGCTTTGATCGCACGTTCCGGCGAGGCGTCCAGCGAGATCCCCGCTTTGCACAGAAGGGGCCGGTGCCTTTCCCGCAGAGAACTAACAAGTCAGGTCGTGACCTTCGAGGAAGTCTCAAGCAACATCCCCACATTGAAAAGGAGTCGGCCTCCACGCGTGCAGCCGCTACATCTGTTGAAGTTTTATGGTGCACAAGTTCAAATAACGTTTCAAGCGACAGGCCCGTGTTGCAAAGGACGAGAAGCCCATTTTGAAAAGGATCCTTCTTCCAGTCTTGTAGCTTCTTCGAGATTGTCAGATGATTGTGCGCGGCGCTTAGGCGAGAACCCCATTTTGAAAACGACTTGTGCTTCATCCTTGCATTTACTGCGATCTGTTAGGACGAAGGTTCGCGGCGCCATGGCGAGAGCTCTATGTTGAACGCGGCCCCCCACCATCCGTGTAATTCTTGCAAGAGTTCAAGACGAATAGACGAGGCGCTAAGGTGAAAGCTCCATTTTGATAACGGCAGTTCCTCCATCCGTATTACATTTGCGAGACTCAAGATTCAGGAACGTACATGGTGAGGAAGTCGCAGGCGGAGCGCCCAGCCCGCCCTACCGACACGTCTGGGGGTGCGACAAGGAAAGGTTATCCATAAGGAAAGGAACGGAGGAAGAGGAGCCTCTTGAGGGTCTCTTCGGGGCCTCATGAGACCTTCCTGGGGGGCCCTCAGGGGCCTCTGAGAGCCTCTTGTGGAAGGGGCCGCTTGGTCTTCGCAGGCCCTCGTGGGACACTGTAGGGCCGTTTGGGAGGTCTCTGGGGCCGTCTTGGGGCAGCATAGCAGAGCAGAGCATAGCATAGCATAGCATAGCGCAGCACAGCATCCGCTATTGCTGCTGCTATATTTGTACTACTACCGCTACTGCTACAACTACGACGATGAGGAGGAGGAGGAGGAGGACGGCGTTTACCGCTCCTACTAATGTTGCTTTCCTAGAGGCTCCAACTCCTAGGTAGGGTCACACTGGGATAATTTTAGTGCTCCCGCGCGGGAGACCGGACCGACGATTCAGTTCGCTCGTTTTTCCGCCTAGTTCCGTCGCACATGTTCGCCGCGGGAGTCGAGGCTAGGTCGGGGCCGATTCAGGATCTACCGCGGACCGATCCAGGATCAAACGCAGGGCCGATTCAAGATCCAGGGGCGGATTCGATCAGGATGCGGTTGATTCCACGATCCTGAAGCGGCCCCATGCCTTGTATTAGGCGCTCTATTGGGAACCACATTTGGCACCCTGTTGGGCGCATGATTGGTAGCTCTATTGGGCGCTCTATTAGGAGCTTTATTGAGCGCTCTATTCGGCGCTCCATGTGGCGCTTTATTAGGCATTCTAGTCGGCGCTTAATCCGGCGCTCTGTTCGGCGCTGTATTCGGCGCCCTATTCAGCGTTTTGTGTGGCGCTCTGTTCGGCGCTCTGTTCAGCGCCCTATTCGGCGCTCTATATTCGGTGCTCTGTTCGGCACTTTGTTCGGTGCTCTATTCTTCGCTTTATTCGGTGCTCTATTATTCGCTCTATTCGGCGCTTTGTTCGGCGCACTATTCGGCGCTGCATTCGGCGCTCGCATTCGGCGTTCTAATAGAGCCGCCGCAGGTTTTTGAAATCCCTGGGAATCGATTCCCAGGGATTTCAAACCTGCGGCGGCTCTATTCGACGCACTACTCGGCGCTCTGTTCGGCGGTCTATTCGGCGCCCTAATAGAGCCGCCGCAGATGTGAAATCTTTTCCCAGGGATTTCAAACCTGCGGCGGCTTTAGTAGGAGCTGTATTCGGCGGTCTATTAGGCGCTCTACTCGGCGCTCTAGTAGGCTATCTATTCGGCGCCTTGATAAAAGCCGCCGCGGGTTTGAAATAGTTGGGAATCGATTCCCAGGGATCTCAAACCTGCGGCGGCTTTATTCTGCGCTCTATTCGGCGCTCTGTTCGGCGCTCTGTTCGGCGCTCTATTCGGCGCTTCGCTCGGCGCTTTATTCGGCGCTGCATTCGGCGCTCTATTCAAATCCTTGGGAATCGATCCCCAGGGATTTCAAACCTGCGGCGGCCCTAGTCGGCGCCCTAATAGAGCCGCCGCAGATGTGAAATCGATTCCCAAGGATTTCAAACCTGCGGCGGCTCTGTTCGGCGCTCGATTAGGCGCTCCATCAGGCGCTCTATTCGGCGCCCTGTTCGGCGCTTTATTCGGCGTTTTATTCGGCGCTGTATTCGGCGCTCTGTCAGGCGCACTATTAGGTGCTCTGTTCGACGCACTATTCGGCGATCCATTCGGCGCCTTAATCGAGCTGCCGCAGGTTTGAAATCCTTGGGAATCGATTCCCAGGGGTTCTAGAGTAGCGATCCCAGCGTATGCCTTTCAGTGGAGCCCCATGGGGCCACGAAACAGTGTACTGGGCGGGGGGAGCGCATGCAAGCACCGTCAGTTGGGCCTTCGGTGGAGCTCCCTGTGGGGCCACGCAGCGCGCGAGGGGTGTGACGAAATTGGTGGCGCAGACGCATGCAAACACCGCCACTGGGGCCTTCGGTGGTGGCGGAGGAGGAAGAGGAGGAGGAGGAGGAAGAGGAGGAGGAGGAGGAGGAGGAAGATGAGGAGGAGGAGGAGGAACCAAACAAATGATAGAAAAGGAGGAGGAGGAGGAGGAGGAGAAGGAGGCGGAGAGTAGGGGGCGAGGAGAGAGGAGGAGGAGGAGGAGGAGGAGGAGGAGGAGGAGGAGGAGGAGGAGGAGGAGGAGGAGGGAGCCCCCCCTCGACCCTTTCCCAGCACGAGGCGGAGGCGGAGGATAATTGTACGGGAAGGCACTAAACGCGCGTCCCCGGAGGGGCTCCCCAGCAGGACATCCGGCTCTTCCAGGTGCCGCAGGACTTTGCCGCGCAGGAGGGCGCCCAGCTCGGCTCCCTGGCCCGCGCCCCGGAGCCCCGGCGCCTGCGAGGCGCGTTCGGGCGCCACCCCAGGCGTCGGGGGCCCCCATACAGTGCGGTGACCACACCGCGTGGTGAGTCAGTGGGGGTTCGGGGTCACCGCACGGCTTTGGAGCTCGGGTCGTTCTCCGAGGACGTCTCGGGCCACTGGGGCCTCCAGGGCCCCGAGTCCGTGCGGCGCCGGGCCGCACGGTGAGGTCTCTTGGGACTTCGAGGTCACACCGCGGTCTGTCACCACACGGTTTCGGGACCCCCAGCAGGCAGTTGCACATGGAGGGCCGGCCCATGAGCATGCGAGTGGACGACACGGCGACTTGCTTGGCGGCCGTCGCCGCGGCGCTGAGCATGGTGGAGGCCCTTCGGCGGCCGGGCGCTGGGGGAAAGCACCCCCCCCAGGAGAGCCCTGGAGAAATGTTGCTGACGGCCACCCGCTGTGTTCGCCGCGTGGGGCCACGACAAAGGGCGACGAGGGGAAAAGGATAACGGGGAGAAGGACGACGACGACGACGAGGTCGAGGAGGGAAACGGCGATGACGAGGTCGAGGAGGAGGAGGAGGAGGAGGAGGAGGAGGACCACGACGTTGAGGAGGGGAGCGACGACGCCGACGACGGAAGTCGTGTAATGCTTCGGGGCCCGAGGACCCCCATGAGATCGGCTGGGCTCGAGAAGTGTGGTGTAAAGATTGGATCAATAGATTTGGCCGCGCTCTGTTGCGAATACATTTTTCTTCAACATCCGTAATCAGTTGGGCTTAAGCTTGCCTTGAGCTTGAGGCAGTCTCGCTTCCTTCTGTTGTTTGTTCGCGCTTCCTTCACCCACCACTTGAAGTCATAACCATGGAGGCGATGAAGCATGCGAAGGACGAAATGAAGGCGTCGGCCGCGAAGACAGTGATCAAGGCGGCTGCTCCGTCGTATATTGGGTGTTGGCTGAATTGTTGCACCGTCGGCTGCGTGGTACACACACTGGACAAGGCGGAGTTCATCATCCCGGAGGAGAAGAGGCCCCAGATCAAGGCGGCCGTGGCACAGTACAAAGCCTTGTGAGTTGCTGGGCCTCGCAGGGAGTTGCGGGCAACTGTAGGCGTGGCACTTACCATCGGTATCGTTTAACCGATCCCCATCCCCATCTCCATCCCCTTCGAGACCCCCACCAAAGTACCACCCCAGTTGGGGATACACCCCTCGAAACCCGAAGAGAACGACCCGTATCCCCATCTAGGGGGGTAAATCGGCCATCGGGGCCCTGGCCACGCCGCTGGGGATGGGGATCGATTAAACGATGCTCATTGCTACTGTTGCTCAACGGGCCTTCACCTCACGAAGGCCTGTGGCCGCTCTGCGAGAGCCACGGCGGGCGCTGCGGCCACGGCAGGCAATGACCTCCTGTTGCAAGCCACGAGCTGGGCATCGGGCTCTCCACGCCGGCACGACCTTCAGGGGAGCGTCTGAATTTGGCTGCGCGCATGCGACAGCAAGCAAGCAGCATGCTGGGTACGAATTCGCACATGAGCACACAGCCACCGTCACGTGGTATCGCAATGCTTGCTGACTGCGACGCGCCACGCCGTGGCCGAAGACACGCTGTGCGCATGCGATAGAGAAGGGAAAAACAGGAGCTTCTTCCACGGCGCCGCATCTTTGTGGCCGCCGTCGGGCAGGCGCAGGACGGGGATAAACTGCTTCAGAGCGCTCCAGCGCTCTCAGGGCGGTTCGAGACGCTCTGGGACGGCCGCGGCGCCAGGTACAGCATCCATGCTTGCCCGCGAGGTCTCGTAGATCCTGGATGCATCCTCATCCGAATTTGGTCCTCATCCTGCCTTCGTCTTCCGCCGGGTCAAGGCGAAGCGGTGGAGGGAAGTGCGCCGAGGAGACCCAGCCGAACGGGGGTCATTCGACCGCGAAGGCCCCTCTGGCCACCAGGACCCCTCACTCGGATCTGGTCGATGCTTTGGTTGGTCAGCCTCTGAAGGCACAGCTTGACCGCCTTTCTGGCGCCGACTCTGGCGCCACCTAGCACACTGAAGACCCCAGGCCGAAAGCCGCTCGATGTTTGTCGTTTCCGCCCTTGGCGGTTCACGAGGACGGTTCCGCGCCGCTCGCAGGGTGTGGCGCTTTTGTCAGAGACCGTGGGATTCTTCGCGCTCCTGCTCTCTTTTGCTCACGTTGCGCCCTTCGGTGTTGCCAGAGGCGACCCTTGCCCAAGGTGACCCCAGTTTTTCCAGGCTGGCCCCGATGGCTTAGCACCCCTCACGAGCCCCAGAGGGCCTCAGGGGCTAGCTGGGGGCACCTTCGGCCAGTATCACCTCCGACGGCCTCTGACTGGATGGCATAGGGGTGCGCGGCAAGACAGGGACGTCGGTGTTGTCTCGTGCCCACCGCAGCTCTGCCGATGCTACATTCTGCGGCAACCCCCATCTCCTGCGGAGCGCCGAGGCCATGAGACCCCTCTGGACGACGCAGGGACGCGCTGCAAGCCAGGGACGTCTCTCATGTCTTGTGCTCACTCTGGCTATGCCCTTCCCGCCCTCTGCGACACCCCCGCTCCACAGCAGCGTCGACGACGACGACGACGACGACGACGACGACGACGACGACGACGACGACGACGACGACCCCCGACGGACTCTGCAAGTCCCTGGAGGACTCCAGAGGTCCCAGGACGTCTTGGAGGCCTCCAGAGGCCCATGGAGGCGTAAGACAGGGCTAAGCCCGAAAAGACTCGATCCCCGACCCTCGAGCCTCGAGCGCGGCCCCGAGGGCATGCCCGGCGTCGAGGACGCGGACCTGCCGCAGGAGTTCGGGGGCGTCCAAGACGGGCGGAGAAGGACAAGGGGTGCGTGGGTATCATGGCGCGGGCCACGACGACCTCCCAGATCATATGGCCCTTTCTCCCTCTCTCACGCCCCGTGCCATGGTGCGCTGACCCCCCCTCTGTCGGGCCCCCCTCCGCAGACATCCGGTGTGTGAATTCTCAAGACGGGGTCCCCAGAAGTCCCGACCCGTTTCCCAGAGCCGGTTCTTCATCCCGAGTCGTGTTTTGACGGGCCCGGGCCTGGCGCGGACTCCCAGGGGCCGAAGTTGGCGGGACGAATCCGCCTTGAGCTGCTCGAGGCGTCGGAGGTCTGTGTCCCTGTGGCGCACCCGCGCAGGAGCTGTCCGCCTCCGCCGCGGCGGGCACCGCGCGGCCCGAGAGCGTCGTGCCCAGCGTCGGGGGCGCCGCGGGCGAGCTCTGAGTGGCCTCGGGCGTGCGCGGTGCGGCGGCCTCGGCCTCGGCGCCCTGCCGGGCGCAGGCCGCGCCTCGCCGAGGGCGCCCGTCGGCGCGAGCGGTGTGGCGAGCTCTGAGCGGCGCTGCCGCGGCCGACGGCCGCGTGCGCGCCGGCGGCGGTCGGCGCGCGCCGCGCCGATCGCACAGCGGGCGTGCCGTGAGCGGCCGCGGCGCGCGCGGCCGCGCGGCGCGGCGGGCTCGCCTCGCCGCCTCTGCGGGGCGCAGGCCTCGAGGAGAGCGGGTGCGGAGGTGGGCCGGGGGAGGCGGGCCCCGAGGAGCGGGTTGGGAGGTGGGCAGCTCGAGGAGCGGCTGGGAGGTGGGCCCCGGGGGGTCGCTTGTCTCGGAGGATGTCGGGCACATGCAAAGGAGGTCAGCGCCATCGGGGTCAGCCAGTCCTGGCTGACCCGGGTTTGGGGAGCCACGTGGGGCCGATGCCCCGCTTCCGGCCTCCCCTGACACGAGCTTGGGAGCCTGCCGAGCGGCCGGTCGGGCTTCGCCACAGGGACCGCGGGCCGCCCCGGGTTTGTGCTGACCCGGTTGGTGCGCCCCCGATTGTCTCCGTTGGCTTCTTCCGAGGCCCCACCTCCCAGGTCACGCCTCGCGGCCCGTGCCAGGGGGCGCTCCGGCTTGAGCCGGCGCGAGAGCGTGTTGATCGGAAGTCCACAGACGGCGCGTTGTCCGCATCGTCGGATGAGTCGGTGATTGGTGGGGTGGCCGCACGGTTCTGTGATTTGGGTCGTTCTCCGAAGACATCTTGGGCGATCGGGGCCTCCAGGATCCCGAAAACCGCGCGGTGACTGACCGTGCGGCCGGGGTTTCGAGGTCACCGCACGGTCCATCACCGCACCGTTTTGGGAGAACCCCAAGAAGAGAAGCGCGTGTCGCGCGTCGCACGGCGCGGAGCGCGAAGCTAGGCGGCCTGGATCTCAATGGAGCCGTCTCGGGGAGACTTCGCTGGTGATGCCGACAAGGCGCCAAAGCTAACATGAAGGCAATGTTTTGTCGAGAGGTGCGGTTCTGTGCTGGCGAGAGCCAAGCTGAGCCCGCCTGCGCGAGGCGTTGCACCACAGCCCTTGGGCTTGCGTGCCTCCTGCCAGGTAGAAAGGGAGGCGGCGGATATTGCGCAAGGGGATGGGGGGGGGTTGGAGGGATGTGTACCACCGCGTAGTTGTCCAACGCCGTCTCCACTTGTGGGGCGCGTGCGGACTCCGCGCGCGATCGGACCGGTCATACAACCTGGACCCCCAGGAGCCCCTCCAATTCTCGCGAGAACTGCTTTTGAGGCCATCTGGGCATCCCAGGAAGAGCTGGGGACCACCTTCGGCAAGGGCCGTCTCTGGCACACGGAGATGGGGGGGCGACAGCAGATGTCGGGGTGCGTCCTGCCCTCCGCGGCGAATCCGCGCGCGCACCCCCGTCTACGGCAAGTTCGCGTCGTGACGACCCCGGCGTTGGTTTCTGACACCGCGGGGATCGTTGAGCCTTGAACGATGGGCCGTTTCCGAAACGTCGGATCTTCCAACGTCGACCGATTCCAGGCCGCCGCCGGCGTTCAACGTTGAACGCCGGCGGCGAGGTCGCCGACGGTCGACACGACGCGAACCTACCGTACCCAATCCTTTCGGGAAGGCGCGAGGGTGGGAATGCCTCCCTCCCAGGTGAGCGGGGTGACGTCGGGAGCAAGCGTCGGGTGTCGCCAGAGGCGGCCCTGGCCCACGGCGTGGCCCCAGTGTCTGCGAGGAGGCCCGCGCGAGAGGCACGGAGGGCCTCCGGGGCTCGAAGATGGCGCGCAAATTTGGGGGCACACGAGGCCGGGTTCGCCTCTGGCAATCTCCAACGGTGTGGAAGATGACAAGGGGGGCGGGGGGAACCGAGTGCGCCTGCGCACATGAGCATGTCGACCCCTCGACGGCACGGGCACCCACGTGCTCGCCACCCCCTTCCATCTCCCCCGATGCTTGCGCCGCGCTGCCGCTCGGGAGTGTCTCGTGGCCTCTGGGGTGACCTCGAGTATGCGCTCCCACCGCAGCAGACGGGGAGGGGCAGGAGGCTCGGGGAACGCCAACGATCCACCTGCAACCGTCCCTGGCCAGCGCGACCCCGGGCCCAGGAGCGGGGCACACACCCCTGGTGGCCAAGCCCGGGGGGGGCCGCGCACCGATCCTGGGCCCAAGGGCGGCCCGGCCAGGACCTTCGCAGGGGCCAGACGGCGCAGGAGCGCCGCAAGACGGCCCCCACGAGGCCCCAAGAGACTACACAGAGGCCCTAAAGAGGCCCCCAAAGAGGCTCCAAAGAGGCCCCAAAGTGGCACCCAAAGAAGTCCCCACGAGGCCCCCAAGTGGCCTCTACGAGGCTTGGCGGCGGTGTGCGAATTCACCGGCCGACCTCCCCCGTCTTGGAGTGCGTGCCGCGGCTAGCGTTTTCTTCAGAGGGGGCGGGGACGCGCCGCCCTCAGCTAGACTCGGGGACCGCCCCGGAGCGGCCCAGGACCCTCGCACTCGCCCGGCGCTGCCTCCTTCTCACACCTCCATCCTCCCTCTCCTTCCTATGAACTTATCAAAGCCCACGAAGTCTTTGATGGCAATGAATATAACACTGATGATGAAAGAGAATATCATTCTCACATCGCGCTCGGTCTGACTCAAGGGCCCTGCCGCAATCCAGGGCCGAAACGGTTGCGGGTTCGTGCTATACAACACACACGCACGAGCATGCACACTAGATGTACTGCGTATATCTCACACCCGTGAAAGAGTGAAAAACAAATGAAACATAAAGAAGCCTTCTTTCATTCTGAAACATAACAAATCCAAATAAACATACCTAAGAAAATCCAGATAAACATTCCTAAGATGCATTAACAATAAACATACTGAACATCAAAGTTATAATGCGTGAGAAAGTGTAACTAACTCCACGCTAGAAAAACAATGCCGATATGTCGCACTGCACATGAATGGATCTCCAAACCGAAATCCACGATCACAAAGGGATTCCCAAGCGAAATCCACCATCGTGAACTCTCGGGCGGCGAGCAATGAGAGCCGCAAAACAGAGAAAGAATAGTATTGAATGCCAACCTCACTTGTGAACTCGAAAACCTTCTGTCAACTCTGGCTCGGTCGTCACCTCGCCTACTCTGCGAAACCCTTGGGTTTGATGCTGAAACCTCCAAACGTCTCCGCTGAGCTTGTATGTAGTCATGCTCTGCGTTCCCACCGTCCTGGCCGTATATAGGTCGTTCGATGAACCGCCTCGTTCGTCGCTTGATTGTCCTTTTGGTTCTCTCTCCTTCTCGATCTTCTCCCTCTCGATCTTCGCCCGTAGAACTGCCAACTCAGTCTTATATTTGTACTCGGCCTCCTTGATCTTGATCAGGTAGGATGCAACTGGGTAGGCTCCACATAATCCAAGACATACGAAAAACATGGCAAACCAAACCAAAATACCATAGCCGTTGTTCTCGTTCTTCGTGTCGTACTCCGTGTGAGCCGCCGATCTGCAACAGCTGGTTGCGAATACTGCCAACTGCATGAACGGTGTATTTGCCTTCCGCGTTGCCGCCGATGTCACCGGCCTTGTCTGGTCTATACTCTCCTGTCGCTCTTCCTTGGTATTCTTCTTTGCTGCCGTGTAGTTCGGGTCACGTTTGAGCTGTAGCCTGCCATATCGTAGACGGTCGGCGAGGAGCTGTCTCGCCGCGATATTCGTGAGCCCGTCCGCGTATTGCGTTTCTGAAGATACCCACCTCCAGCGTGTCATTGTAGCCTCCATCCTCTCACGTAGCGCTAGCACCTCGATGCCGGTCCGCTTGTCCTGGAAGTTGGTGATGCTCTCCTTTTGGGCCGCGTCGTAGAGCGCCTTTGCGTCCACGACCAATGCTGACTCACCCGCCATGTGGGTGCTTTCATCCTTCGTGGTGTCCACGCCGTCGTAGATCAGGGCTGCCCAGAATCGCTTCGCAAATTCTAAGCCATCCATGCCCGCTGTTGCTGCCTGTGACTCCGCATGTAGAGAGGAACGTGCCATACGTAGTAGCTTGAAGGACTTCCAATCGATCACACTAAAGTCGGACTCGTGTCCGTCGAATATCTTCTTGTGGCATGCCAAGATGACGCAGCCACCTTGACTAGACCCGTCCTGTCGAACTCCCCAGGCTGCGTCCGTCATTGCTACGAACACTATGTCGCTTACCTGGCCGATCTTCTTCATCTTGAGCCCGACGTCCGAGTTCTGCTTGTAGAACCGCAGTGTCTTGTTCGCCTCCTTGGCCGTGCCCACTGTCGCCGTAGGTAATTGCCCTTGGCGAATGCTGACCGAAGCCGAAAGATGGGAACAAGCTTGAGAGCTTGGCCACTGCAAAGCTCCGAGTAGACCTCGTAGCTGCCGCTTCTCCTTGATAGTGAGCTCCCTCGTGTTGTCGCTGCTCTTCTAGTCGATCGTGATGGGCTTCAGGTTCTTGGCGTAGGTCGCCATCTTCACTTCAATCTCGCTGCTGTTCGACTTCGGGTTCTCCCAGTGCGGGGTCTGCGTCAAGTCGCTGCCGCAGTAGTCCATCTTGTCGTCTTCGATCCACTTCCTGAACTTGAACCTTCGTTTTACCTCGGTGATAGCTCGACTATAGTTACTGCCCGGCCGCCGATCTCCACCTCCCAGCACGTCGTCCACATAAAGTAGAATGAACCCGTCATTATTGCCGTCCTCATCGAAGCTGAGAAACGCGCAGGGGTCCAAAGGATGCTGCTTGAGACCACTGGCCTTTAAGTCGCCCACCGCACGTAGCCACCAACGCCTCGGTGCGTCCACCTGGCCGTACATTGGCTTGATGAGTTTCATAAGAGTATTCGGCTCGATGCCCATGAGCTCTGCGGCGTCTTTGAGCACCTTCGCATACAACTCGCGCTCTTGGGGTCGTCCTTGAAGAAATGCAGTAGCTACATCTGCTGTCCATAGTCTCCAGCCGTCGTTGGCCGCCAGCAGTAGCGCCATCTGTCTTGCCAGTCTCGAGGCTGTAGGTGATGCCGTCGGTACCGCGCCACTGAGTGCGTCGGGGGTCGTTGGACACTTGTAGTACCAG